AAGCCAGAGTCTTGATCAGTTTATGCAGAAGCTGGAATCACTTGCAAAAGACTGTAACTTTGTAACCGTCATGACCGAACAAAACCAAAACAACGCCATAAGAGATGCTTTTATCAGTAGAATATAAGAATGTAGCATCCGCCAGCGCCTCTTGGAAAACCGGACACTTGACCTAGAAACAGCATACGAACAGGCTAGAACCTTGAAGATGGCATATCAACAGTCCAGCGTCTTCTACCCAGTCGATTCCGCTTACACAGCTGCAGTCATTGACCCCAAGTCAATAAACGAATCTACATCGAACTTTTAACTGGACACCGACTCCCAATGGACTGCGGTTTTCACACCGCCCCACTACCTTGCGGATCAGGTTTTGGCTAGCCGAAGGCTCCGGTTGTGCATTCCTCAAGAAAATTCACCTGCCTTGGCCTGGGCAACCTGGCAGCATTCAGCCCACAAGCCGATCATGAAACGTTTTACTTTGTTCACGAAGATTATTGTACTATGATTTGCTTGGCACAGTCTGTCCTCAGACATGTGTGAATATATATGTATGTATACTTTTTATTAAACATAATCATTTAACGACAAGTAGAAGAGGAAAACTCAGGAGTACGAAGGCCTGTTGATAACTTGTGGTATGTTTAGTCGGCAACCACACGAGGGTATCAGGTGGATCGACATTAGCGCCTGCCACCATTGAGGGAAAGTCATCGGTCGTCTCGTACGATTTGTGGGTGGTGGTGGCGCAGTGGGTTAGTAACTGTCACCGGCCTGCTTCGGTTCTTGAGGTCTGGGGTTAGATCCCCGCCACCACCACCGAACTATGGTGGCGGACAGCTTTGCTTTCGCCCGGTTCTATACCACACGTGACCTAACGGTGCCTTATGTGGTTCGCCTCTCGTCGTGATAGCTGCCGGTTACCATCACTGAACAGCAGATCTTCGTGACTGTGGGATTCCAACCTGTCTGCTGTTCATCACACATCAGTGTGTAATATACAAAAATAATTGACCAGTTTGCAATGCGGACGTCTTCTATCTTCGCGGAAGATACCCTAAGGTTAATGTAAACGGTTCTTGATATGTATACAGAATGTTAGAGATGCGGATTAGAACTTTAATTTCTATGAAACTGTTTTTTGTTGACATTTTTAATAAATTCAATGTTTATTTTGCTTTTTAGGAAATTGGGTGCATTTACTGACTGATTCAGCACCACTTCACTTATATCGTTGGTATATGAATAAAAATGAATGTAATGAAATTAAATGGAATCAAGGTGTACAACCTTACTGCTAACAAATCTTTACCTGAGTGGGCATCCCGTGCGGAAAAACGAAAAAAAATTTCACGAGACAGCAGCCTTACTCGCCATATTGAGCTTATTCAAGAGCTGGAAATGCCAGATTCGACAACCTACATAACAGGATCTCCTGATGGTCAATACTTGTTCACCCTTGGTCGTTATAAGCCGCGTGTCAAATGTTATGAGCTGAGCAACCTCTCACTCAAGTTCGATCGTTGCTTAGATTACCTTCCATATCGGATGCAAAGTCTGAGTGACGACTACTCAAAGTTTGTCCTATTAGAGGAAGAACGATGGGTTGATGTGCACGCGGCTGGAGGACATTATTTTAAATTCAGGGTACCCAAGCCTGGGGTAGATATCGCCTATTGCCCATTTACATGTGATCTTTTCATTGTATCTTCAAGGAGCAACATTTATCGTATGAACCTGTACGAAGGCCGATTCAATACACCCATCAATAACGAGAGACTGGAGGGTACCTCCAGTGGATTTACTTGTTGTGCCTATAGAAAAGAACATAGTCTTTTATTGTGTGCTTCATCAATCGGTTGTGTGGATGGATGGGATGCACGCACGGGGGAACACGTGCTTGGGATGAACGTCTCAGCTTACGCCCCACCTCCGGATGAACTGAAGGATACATCATCTGGTTTCCGCAAACAAATCGCTGGTGTATCATGTGTCAAATTTAAAGATCCTTTAAATATTGCTGTTGGGACTACTGATGGAATGGTTTATCTCTATGACATACGACAAAATCGAAAACCATGGCATTCAAGGGATACAGAGTTTCGAAAGTCTGTAAAAACAATAGACTTTCACGATGATAAAATTCTTGCTCTTATGCCAAATTGCCTGAAAATTTGGAGCATAGACACAGGCAATATATTCGTCGGCTTCGACACTGGCAGATTTGAGTGCAACTGGATGTACCATTTCAACAACAGTGGATTAATTATGGTGGCTGCAGAATCTCCGAAAATTGCTACTTACTTCATCCCACTTTTGGGCGAAGCTCCTGCATGGTGTAGTCACCTGGATCAGTTGGTAATCGAATGTGAACCGGATGTAGCAACTATGTACGATGGATATAAATTTCTGACTAGACAACAGCTTGCCGAATTGGGTATGCTCGAGCTTATAGGAACTCAGTTTTTACGAGCCTATATGCACGGTTATTTCATCTCAACAAGACTTTATAATAAAGTCCAAGAACGCTTGGGCATCACACCTAGCCCGGTGGATGCAGCTGCACCAAGGAAGCCAAAAGTTCCCCAACCCACATTGGAAACAGTTGAAGACGATGGTACCGATGAATTAGACGAAGCTTCCGCCGATGTTCGTTTTAAGAAATTNATGTTCGTTTTAAGAAATTGAAGAATCCCAAGTTGACGTTTACTGTGAAAGATGAAGAGTCTGAGTTGATGCGTATACATCAGTCACGTTTGTTAAAGAAACGGCGTCGAAAGGAAATTCGCAAAGAACGTGCCGAGCGCGCCCATGCGTTGGTGGAACATAAGTAACCTTGTTATGTATGAAACCACGTTGTACATATAAATCTATCATATATACACAGTTTTCATTCTTTTTACATCTTCTTTCTTAATTCTTCGTGCGAAACCCATAATAAACGGAGCTGTTTCTTTTAGAAATGAATAGAGGCCGTCGGCGGGGTGGTGGTTCTGGTCTTGCAGGCCTCAGGGATGGTGTTAAGCGTCGTCTATTTGATCCTCACCTGGTTCCAACAAAGCCCGACGCTAAATACGAGGTGAATCGCTTGGTACCATTGCTATGGGCCGCTCCTCCAATTCAAAGCCGTTTGAGTCAACTACGAGGAGATCCACCACACGATGATGCTGTGTGTGCGTCCACTACTCCAGACGAAAATGACTTGTACACTAAACTTGTAAGTAGCTGTACTTCATGTTCTCAAAATTAATGTTCACTCAAATAAGCCCGTATTCATTGATGAACCGCGTATGCTTCCGGGAAGGTTTACTATAAGTTCGTCGAGGTACCTGATTTCGTTTATCGGAGGACTGCTCATCTTCCACAATGACAACCTAAGCTTCTTAAATCCAAGCATTTCTTTGTTTTGATCCTTTTACTCATTGAATTCACAGTTTAGTCAGGTTTTCAGTAAGAGGGCGGCAGCTAATTAAAGAATACCTCGGAAAATGCAGAATTGGGGAGATGAATGGTGATTGAGCGATTCGAACATGCGACTTCCGGGCCGTTATCGTGCTTGATCACCGCCATCACATTTGCATGCTGAATAGAGATTTTCGTCCCTTCAACGTTGACGTGCAATCTAGGTTTAAGGTCCGTGACTACGGGTTTTACTTTCAGCATAATAGGCCTATTTAGCTTGTCTTCTTTCTTCCTGTGAAACTGACTGCCTTCATATGGCGGTGTTTTCCCACCACAGTTAGTCGTTGAACTACTGGCAATTCACTCAAGGGTTTTGGCTAAAACCCCTGATTCCACACAACCTAAGAAGAAGATAACAAACTCCGCACCCTCACACCTTCCAAGTTGACAGTAATCATCCACTTGATTGGGCATCCAATTGTATTAGGCGCCTTGGATGTTTGACCCAGTCCAAAGGGCGTATGATTCGAGGAGCTGGACACCTGCTCCCAATGAACAGCGGTTTTCAAAGACCGCTCGCTGCTTTTTGGATGAAGCTCTGGCTGGTCGAAGGTCCCGGTTATGAATCTCCCAGCAATTTCCCTTGATTTTGTCTGAGCAACCTGTTAGTACTCGGCCCATGAGCAAATTATGGATAATTGCGCCGTGATTATTTTTGCACAATCTGGACTGAGATTAGTTTAAAACATGATAATAATACATCTGAAACGAATAACTGTCTCCCAGTTTTTCTAAATAGTCCGTTTGTTGGAATCATGCTTAGTGACGGTGACGAGTGATCTACACTTCTGTCAGTAACGCATTAGTTATTAGGCTTGTAAATTCAGACATCCCCTTCGTCCCGATTCGGTGATGGTGAGCTGTGCTGTTGTCCAATACTCCATGTCCAAGTGCTGAAGTGGTCAATTATTCTCACTGCGGTATGTCCACTTAGTTTCCCCATTTCACCATGCTCGATACTATATTTTCAGAGTTAATTTGTACCATTCACTCACTGCATTTCAACAACGCATCTGATTAGTCTTTTAAATTTGGATAGCGTTGTGCAATACTATGTGACAAATGGATCTTTGTTTGTTACTGGGCTGTAACATATCCGTACACATACCTGGAAGTTAGTTCCCATTGGCACGAGGCAATTTTAGTCCCGAGGTAGATCATCAGAGTTCAATGTTATTCTTGTCCTTCCAAACTGAGTTGCGGAAATCTGATGATGGGTTTTACCAAAGAAGAGAAACGAGGAAGATTATTTGGTCGGTGTTTTGTGTTGCAAAAATTTTTGGTGATACGTTAGGTGACTGTTTGAACCGCTGTTTAGTATGGATTTACGACGTGGATTTGAGGGCTGGTTTCAGTTCACGCTGTCATAAGCTACCGTTTGCTTAGGCTAGTATAGAATATAAGGTCTAGGTGAACCACTTGCATTAGTCTTGATTTGCTTTTCTCCCTGCCTCACTGGTCATAGACGAAGATTTAATTCAAGCTCAAGACCGTCTGTATGATCCATCTGGTTGTGCGCGCTATGAGGAAAGACTGTGAGCTTTACGGCATATTGCGGTTAGTAGGCTGTAATACGAACATTGTTCGTTATTATTAGCCCAGAGTCCGTTTAGAATATTGAATCTTCAAGGAATCAGTAGTCTCGGTAGCTTGTTCAACGTCAACTCACAAAAAAGCCTTGAGAAGTGAAATGAAAACTGGTTGGCAAAAGTAGAAGATAAACAAATGTTTGCTACCCAGAAGAACAGTCAAAAGCCATTCTAACCGACTTACAACTCAGTAGACAGCAAATTAAGCTTCACTAATAATGTGACGTTGATTTTCGGGAGAACTTTACAATCCCCTATCCGAGTAGTGAAGAAAGATGGTAGAAAACCGAATCTTATCCACTTTTCAAACCAGAGTATGATTATTTGGGTCGAAGAGCGCATTCTGTAAGCACAAGGTGAGTCGTTCCTATATTTGAGAAGGGTTTGCGCAATCAATTTTAACAGCTGCTTAGTCAGTTTTATTGCGATTCTGATATAACACTGCCACCGTACTCGTTCAAGAATTTCTACTTTTGTGAATGGTGGTGGGGGATATGGTTACTTCTCCACTCCTTTGTCCTTGCAAGCCTGTGATCACCCACTATCTTCTTCCTGAAAATTTGTCCTGTACTTGAATAGGATAACGTAAGGGATCACTATTACTATCGTTATTACATTACGTCGCTGCCACCGGCGTGCTTCAGACATTATGGTCCGAGGTTGGAGCCTCACCACTGCCACCTAACTATGGTGGTAAGCAGCTTTACTGTCGTCCGGTTCAATACCACACCTAACCTATCGGGGCCTTATGTGGTTCGTCACTCCAAGTCCCGGGGCTTAGGTTAACGGTCTCCACCACTGAGCGGCAAGTCCTTGTAATTATGGGGTTTCGACCTGTCTGCTGCTCATCACACCAAGGTGTGTAATAAAAAATTACTTCACATTAAGTGGTAGCTATTGAACAGTGGCTGTGTTCTAAATCCGGATGTTACGAAACGATGCGTTCCGTTGACAGGTACTATTAGCTCCCTACCATTAACAGCGTCTTCGTCTTAGTCGTAAGATCAACACAAAATCGTCTAAGACATTTCACAGCAACTTCCCATCCAGGTTTGTTTTGACCAACGAGTAAATTGTCGCATGTTTCAAACCACAAATCAAGTGGTAACTCTTAATCGAATTGTGCCTAGGTCCCATGCATACAGATTGTATCCTGTACTATTTCTTCTTTGCCACTTTTCAGCTTCGTTTATAAAGAGTTTCCCCTGTTGTTATCTGGATTCTATAGTACGCATTCTACCCAATATATTGCAATACAATAAAGGTCTGTAGTTGAAGATTCAATTATTATCAGGTGTTCTTTCATACAGAGTTGCAAATTTAGTTCAAAGCAAGCTTTAAAATCTTTCCTGAAAAGCCTTTACGGTATTCTCCGGGTTGCTGATGCATTCAACCATTCAACTTGACAATTGTCAAAATAGTTCATTTGCAGATCGATTGTGGTGAATCTCACTCACACGCGATTCGTTGCATCGGTCATTTCCCTCGAATCGTTCGGTACAATGCAGTCGTGGCAATGTTCCCGTCACGAATGCGGTCGTCTGAGGTGACCAATCAATACGGTGCCTTAAATACATCTAAACAAGTATACCAAAAATGATGAAAACGGTTTCGATGACGTTATTCTCAATTGCAACCACCGATCCGATGGGATTTTCATCGTCACTATGCTTATATAGAATGCAGAGCCGTTAGGGAGAGTAGGTGTCACGCGACTTCCAGGTTGGGGTCAAAAGAATCCACAATTGGTTGGTTGGAGACATTAAAGGATATGACAGCGAACCGACAGCAGTGGCGTTCTTGTTGTTATTGCTTATCAGGCCAGAATGCTTGAAACGATATGTGTGCAGAGTTCAGTCGTGTACTTTGTGTGTTGACCATAGAGATTCACCTTCTTCTCCCTCCGTCATAGTAGGTCCAATTCCTGTACACCTTAAACTTCACCACTGACGTTGTATGCATTGTGAGTTTGGCAGCGGTCAGTGAAGTTCGCTTCACTGTACTTCGCTGTACGATGATGATGATGATGATGATGATGATGATGATGATGATGATGATGATGATGATGATGATGATGNCCTATCCCACGTGTGATGCACGGCAGTGCTTGGATTCTCGCATCATTCTGTATTCTAATACACCCCTTGTAAATTATGCCGATTTTCTGCTTACTTTTCACCAAAGAAGGCTTTCATTAACGGACTCAGTTTTCTGAAAACTTTGTTCTGTACCGGTAAACTCTAGATTAACAAATCAGTTATTTTGATGTTTAGAATTGAATGTGGATGTGGTATTTTCACATCTTTAAAATTATTTCCCTTTTTGGCCCATTCTTATACTTTTCATCACAAATGGGTTTGTGAAAATGACTACGCTCAGTTCTCTGAATTAAGTGAACAGGCTTAAAGTTTATCTTCCATACTACTGTTTTAATCCCCATATTTATTTCTTTAGTTTAAAGCAAAAGCTTTGATGGAATTCGCGTTTCGAACTGGTCCTTTTTATCATCCTCTACCGGAAGTTCCGGAAGGAATCGAGGTTACTCGTGCTTTCACCGATCCCACTGAATCGGAAGCGGAAAACTCCAAACAATGTCCAGTCTCCACTTTACATCTTATTTTGGCACATGGGGAAATTAATCGATGGTCATCTGGTGATCCTATGGCCAATCTAGATGATCCTCCATCCTGGTAAATCAATTGTCTCTTATTGAATGCCTTTGTTGTGTTCCANCTAGTGTAGACGAGGGACAACAATTCCTCAATGTATTCAGTACACATGGGTGCATATTTTGCATCTCAGTCGTCTTGTTTTCGTCTGTTTTCATGCACCACTTCCCTTCACCAACTTTCAGTGATGTCCGATTTTTCGACGACCAAGTTGTATCGTTATCTGAGTTGTTGAGCTAATGCTTTAAGACGTTCACCGATCATGAAGATGTAATAATGCACTGAAAGCTCATTTATTGCTTGTCTATCGCTTTTTTAGTTTAGTTCATAGTTCTGGATTGGATTGCTGTCCTTTTGCTAACCGTACCAACCAATGCCATCATCATCGTTGTACTACGAAAGACAGTGAAGCAAACTTTACCGATCACTGCCAGAATGCCAAAGATGAACAGGGATTAGGCCTCTTTGACAGGGGCAAAGAAACTGAACCTCTGTCATCAGCACACGGAGTACACAATCCAACTATGCACACAACTTTTCAAGCCTACTGTACCTCATAACTCTGT